AAAATGCTCTCCAAAGCCTTGACAAGTCGTATGGCGGCGGTCTTGGAAGACGTAATACACCCAGCCCATACAGGGTTCATGACCGGTAGGAACATACAGGAGAACATCCTGCTAGTAAATGAAGTGGTCAATTTTACACGTAGGAACCGAGCAAACGCAACCATTATTTTTATTGACTTCGAGAAAGTCTACGACCACGTCGATTGGGACTTTTTAGACAAATGCTTAGACAAAATGAACTTCGGACCCACCTTCAGGCGCTGGGTGAGGATTCTACATAACAATGTCACTACTTGTGTGTAGGTTAACGGGTCAGTGGCACCTCCGTTTGAGCTTCAACGTTCGGTGAGACAAGGGGACCCTATTGCCCCCTACCTCTTTCTGGTTATAATGGAGGCAATATCTGCTAATCTGAGATACAATAAGGACCTTACACGGATCAGAATCGCTGACATCCCGGAGGAGGTAGTGCCGATGTGTTCCCTTTTTGCGGATGACCTCACTATTATGGTGGAGGCAAATGCACAAAATTTGGAAGAAATTCGAAATCTTATGAACCGATTCTGCAGACTGTCAGACATGGTCGTCAATCGGGGACAGAAGAATGTAGGCTGGTGGTTACATCACCAAGGGGGAAGTCCCCCCGAAAACCCGCGAATCACTTCGTTCCCCCCGGATGACCCTCTCAGAATCCTAGGGGCGTTAGTTACAGGAAAAGGTAAGCATGTCACCAATGACGAGTGGTTGGCGGGGCCAGCACATGCCAAACTCGCGCGGTGGAACAACAAGCATTCCTCAATCTTTGGGCGGACCCTTGTTATCAATAATGTAGTGCTAGCCACACTTTGGTACAAAGCCATATTATGGTCCATGAACAATGGGGGGCCCACCCCACTCAGGGCCAGAGAGGAGCGTTAGCGCGTAGCGCCCCGCGGACGGCAAGGTTCGCCCGCCAGGATCCGCACGTGTCGTTTGGGCAAGAGAAGGTCTCATCAGCCATCGCCTGTGAACACGCCCGTCACCATCTCCCATCCCCACGTCGGGGATGGAGTGAGAATTCCCGCGTGAGAAAGTGGTGACGAGTTCGCGTCAGCGCAAGGATTCACGTACAGCCATGCGAGTAGGAGCACGAGTGAACGATATCGACATTGACTCATCGGACTGACGTTAACATCTGAGGAGAGAGACACACCGAGGTAGATTGGAAAGGGATCGGGATCAGACACTGGGACTCGTTGGGGCACAGTCGTCAAACATACCGTGAAGGTCGTAGGTGACAGCGTGCAGAGTAGGACTGCAATGCTCTAACTAAGGACGGCAGGCAATAAGGTGACGACACAAGACGACATGGGGTTTCCTCTACCTGCGGTTGGAAGGACGACGTGTCAGCGGAGTGGCCAAGACGGTGGTGAGGGGTGGAACGAACATCGGACTGCGACGACGGTTGGCACCTGAGGCGGTCAACAAGGACAGAGGGACGACCGGGGAACAGAGAGACGAGCGGGGACATGGTAGCGAGGGAACGCAGCTGGCACTAACGACAGATTGGAGCGAATTTGGCACTGTAACAACCACTGGGGTAAAATCGATACGTACAGACCGTTCCCCCCCTCCCTCCCCCCCCCTCTTTCCCCCGCTCACCCATGTTGGGTTTTGGTCAAACTTGGGTCAATCCTGGCTGCCCCCCCCCCCCTTGCGACCCACATCCTCGTCAGCTCTGAGGAATTTTCATAGTCAACCCTATCTAACCAGCCCTCTAACCACTTACTTTCGAGAGTGCCGGGACACAAAGACTTAGGTAACACAGACTTAGGTTAAACTGATTAACCCTATTTGCACTGTCTGTGGGGTGCTCCTCATATTAGGAATCTGGCCATAAAATCTCCACAGAAACACTGACTTGGTCATAAACTGGGGATCTGGCAGGATTATGAAACAGGGCCCTGTTGACTCATTCAGTTGACTCCTCAAGCTAGCTCCCCCCACCGGTGACCCGCATCCACGTCAGCTTTGAGGCGTTTTCCTGGTCAGCCTTATCTAATCTGCCCTCTAACCACTTGTTTTCGAGAGTGCCGAAACAAACAGGGTCCTGCTGACTCACCCTATTGGCTCGTCCGGTCCGGGCCAAAAGCCCGGGCCCGAAGGGGGCTAATAAGGGGGGTTGTTCAGCGGACCTGTCCCCTTCGGCCCGGGACACACGTTCCCCCATGCCTGAGAAGGATGGGGTGGCAGGTAAAACCGGGGATACATGGAGGAACAAGGTCGCAAAAACAGATGTGGCCTCCAATGACAGTACGCCCCCCACTTCCAGTCGCATCAACAACCTACCGCCACAGTTGCTTAAAGCCTTATCTGCTCCAGGGGTGAATGACCCTGTAGGGGCTTCGACACTGACCCCCATACCTCCACTCAAAAGCCAGCTCATACAGCAGCTTTACATAGAGTCAGAGAGGAAATACCAAGTGAAGGAGGGCTACATTTACCCTCACTCTGTCTTCCCGGCCCAAGCGCTTGCCAAGCGTACTACGGTCTACTCAAAGAAGGCGGTGCATTTCCGCTTCCCGACGAGTCTGGCATCTTACCCTGTCAACGAAAAAGTTAAATGGATCTCTGCTAAACTGGGGAAAATTAAAACTGATAGCCGACTCGTACAAGACCACTTTCTAATAGAGGTGGAGAGCCCTGACTGTATCACAGTTGTTACGCTCTACACTACAGACAAACACATCATTCTCAAAAGCAAGGGATTACAGTTCAACGGCAAGCCGGTCCATGTCACGGCTTGGTCTCCAGCCAACCCCTTGTCAAGTGATGAAAAGCGGGAATTTCTAATGAACTCTAATTTCTAGGTGGAATTTAGATTTGCACCCCTGTGTGTGCAAGGGGCCATACTGACTGACTTGGAAAACATTGCAAGTGTCAAGGGGTACATCACGGATCTGCCCCGATTTCTGGGGAGACGGGATGACTCGCTGTTAGTAGCGGTTGATTGGGACCCCAGTTATCCGTTCCCTCTTAATGGAGAATGGAGATACTCGCAGGGGGAGGGAACACTCGGTCCCGGTCAGTCACACACAGGACCCATGGTGCTATGCTTGTAAGATCAGTGGCCACCTGTGCACAGATGATGAATGCCCTAACAACCGCAGACAACGAATTAAGGGCCTCATCATCCCCCACCAGACGGATGAGGAGAGGTGGTTCCCTGAGGAGAAATATCTGAAGGGACGGGAACTCTCAACATACGCTGACGGAAGACCTGCCAAGTGGTTCTGGCATGGAGAGGGACAGCCACAAGCCTTTCCCGCTGGGGCCAAACACATTATCCCAGAAGACCGCAAACAGAAGCAGAGTAAGGGAAAGGAGCCAACACAGGATGGTCCCCGAAACAAACGTCTGGCTCTCCGAAAGACTCAGGGTATAGACCGAGACGAAAACGTATGTCCAACAAGTGGACTCGCCACAGAAAAGTGGCTGCCATCCAAGTCCCCTGTGCCAACCCCCGCCCTAGTGGCGACACGCGCGGCCGCGCGCGGATCTTCACACAAATACATACCGAAGCAAAAGTTGGAACTGGCACAGAAGGGCCATGAGCTGCACAAGCCAGCCCCTTCCCCTCTGCTGCCTCAAGCCACGGAGGAGCCCCGGCAGGAGCACAAACAGGAACAGGAACAGGTCCTACAACCTACGATTGATCTAAAACAACTGGTTCTGCAGCACTTGCCTGTCCCGCCCCTGCCTCTCCCTACAACAGAAGACAAACAGGGGGACACAACCGCTGTCCAACAATAGTCGACTCCAGCCCTCCCTCTCCCGGTCGTGGAAGGGGATCAAGGAGGGCAATTGCCTCACAGGCTACAAATAGCCTCTCATGTAGCAGGTGCAGCTAAAGTGGAGCAAAGACTGAAGCTGAGAACCCCCCCAGACACAGGCATAGGACCCCACAATGAGGAAACTGTATCGGTGGTCATAGGGGAAGGGGATCAAAGAGGGCAGCTGCCCCGGATGCTACAAACTGTTTCTCATGCATCCGGAGCAGCAAATGGGGAGCAAAGACCGGAGCTGAGAGCAGGTGCAGCTAAAGGGGAGCAAAGACTTGTGCTGAGAAAACCCCCAGACACAGGCACAGGACCCCACAACGAGGAAACTGTACCGGTGGTCATGGGGGAAGGGGATCAAAGAGGGCATCTGCCCCGAATGCTACAAACTGTTTCTCATGCATCCAAAGCAGCAAATGGGGAGCAACGTCCGGAGCTGAGAAACCAGGTAACACAACCACCGTCCTCGGGAGAGGCGACGGCTGGGGAACAAAGCCCGGCCTTCCACCCAAAAGCCCCACACACGCACAGAATCCCGTATGAAGGAAATTGTATCGGAGGTCACAGGGGAAAAGAAGTTCTCCCTCATTAGATCAGCCGACATTCGATTGGATGGGTCGAGGACGGCGGAGAAAATAACTCGGAATGACAATCGCTCTCAGCGATTACAGTCGGTTACAGCAGCAAAGACCAACGTTGAAACTCATCAGGCTCCCCCCCCCGACCTGCCCGGGCCATCTCTACCAATGCACGCGCCCTGGCCCGATTCAAGCGGTCTACAACAACCGACGACCACGTTCATCCGGGTGAACAATGACAGTCACGCCCCCAAACCTCTTTCTCCGCACGGGGTTTGGCTAAAAGCCAACTCCTTGCTCAATAAACTCAAAGGTGCAGCCTTCCCACAACATCACCAACTACTGTCGGCTGAACAAGGAGGCGATGGGAGGCCGAACAATGATTGGGCGGTGACGGAACATGAAAGTTGTGGGAGAGCGACCATTGAGCAAGACCCCAAGCTCCTGCCACAGACCCTTGACCGACAGCCTGAATGCCAACCACCCTCCCCCCCATACCAGCTGCAGCACATAGGGTGTCGACAGACGACCCTGCAACAACAGACGGGGAGAATGAACAGGGGGACGGATCAGGGAATGCATTTGTCCCGGAACTTCGAGGCTGTGGTACTCCAAACATTGATTCACAGTCCACAACTTGGCTGCAGGCCCTCGACTGACAGACCGAAAGTCGACCGCTCACCCCTCTACATCTGCCACAGAACGCCGATTGTCGAGGGAGCTCTCTGCAACAGCAAATGGGGGAGACTGGACAGGGGGCTGGACCGGGGGGCACACCTACCGAACAAGGGTATAAGCATCCTCCCGATCTACAACAACACCCCAACCAACAGGGTCACGGTCTGACGGGCCACATACACCACCATTGGGAGCACACAGCTCAGCAGCATGAGCTGCCGCAACAGCCTCCCGACCAAATGCCGCAAGAAATGCAAGGCCGGCAGTATGAACTGCTACAACACACCCAAGACTGCTTGCCATTGCAAATACCCCAGCAGCCACAACCGCAACAGCAGCAGCAACAGTTGCTGCAGCAGAGCTCCTTCGACGACCAACTGCGGATGCTACTGCACGCTCAGCTGGCCCAGCATCAAAGACAAAACCAACAACAACTCTTGGTACACCAACAACAAACGATATAGCATCTCCAGCTGCAATGGCAGCAGCAGCTCTACCAGCAGCAACAAGAGATATTGCACCAGCAGCAACAACAGCTGCAGGCCTACTGGCACCAGGAGCTTGAGAGACAGACGAGGATGCGGATGCAACAACATCAGAGCCTGCCCGGTCCCCAACATTATTCCTGTACAGCCCTGCCGCTTCAGAGCCAACATGACCCTTCACAACTGGCGCTGGGTCTGCAGCAGGAAGGGGATGGTCCCCAACACATCCATTCTGTTGCATCGCTGCTGCTGGGGGAAGGTCCGCAACAGATGGATACCTCCGGACCCCCGCAAGATGAAGTGTCGCAAAAATGCCAACACATCCATTCTGCTGCACCGTTGTTGCTGGGGGAAGGTCCGCAACAGATGGATATCTCTGGACCCCCGCACGATGAAGTGGCGCAAAAATGCCAGCCTGCCCCAGATGATGTGGACATGGAAACAGTGTTGACGATCGCTACTGATGAAGAGGTGAAACAAAAATTGTGCTTCCTAACAGAATGGACACTGATGAAAATATTCTCGTTGACTGATGACAACCCGACACACAAACTGAAAATGGAACACTGGGAAGATGCAAAAACGGTTCTCATGCACAGCCTAAGAATCCTGGCCGCAGTGGAAAAACATGATGCAGTCACAGACATAGATTGGATGGAGGTGGAAGCAACCATTGTTTTTGTGGTTAATGAATTCCTAGACAAACAGGAGCTCTTTGCTAAAGCCCAACCCCCACTGCAGGATGCTGCCATCCGCCAGGAGCAAACGTTCCTCCACGAAGGCCTTGCATGGCCCGTATCGAACTGTGTAATACACTCTCTCCAACCGGACCTCAGTTGGGTCAGCCAGCACAGTCTCACCTTGAGGGTGCCTCTCAACCACACATTCAAGAAGTCCCCTGTCGACAACTGGTCCCTGCAGACATGAAGCAGTCTCACTCTTCACAGCTGCTGCCCAGCCACAAACAAGACCTGGAACGGGCCCCACAGGAGTTGCCTGCCCCGCCCCCTTCTCGGCACAGGCTTCATCATGCGGACATACTACTTGACGATGAGGATATGCCACAACAGGTGTCCAAACAAGACTCACTCTTATCACCGGTGGTGCAGACGTTAAAACTGAAAGATGTGGTGAGACTCGAAGTGGATGACAGTACCCCTGTGGCGATCCCCCCGGGAGTGGTTTCTGTTCCCTTTAACCAGGACGGGTACAAAAGGTGAATGGCTCCTAGGACTTAGACTGCCCCAACACCACCCAAAACAATCTGAGGATCAACCAGGGTTGTCTTTGGATGGGTGGAGGGGAAATCCCTCCACAGCAGTCATTCTCAAAAGAATGAAGTACTGGCGCAAGGAGACGTCTACGGAAGGGATAATTGGTGCAGTCATTCCTAACTCCTTATCCTTTCCCAAAGGAATCATTCCGGTGATCCTTCTCGTTGACTCCGCTGCTGTCAATCACTCCAAAGGCTCTGACTTCCAATGGTTTACTCACCGATAGTTGATGCACCTCCCAACAACTCAGATTCGAATGAGCTACGCTTGGACAGTGAGCAGGGTCACCTTTTTCTTATAAATCTTCCTGGAGGACAACGTCCTGGAAGAACACCACCAATGGGATGACCCTCCCTTCATCCTCCCCATTAAACACAAAGATTAGACATGCACACATCTACAATGTTGACGCCTGATCCAATGGAGAACACTGTTGCACAGCAACATAACATCCGCTCCCCTCCCCTCCCTTCTGCCACCCCACAACGCACCCATCACACACCCCCACAACAACCCATGCAACGCCCACCGTCCCCCCCTGTTTTCCCCCGGATTAGGAAGCAACCTCAATGGGCAGAGAAGCTTAGCAGAGCAGATCTTGATATTCGATCATTGAACGTCAACGGTCTCATCCAGGCTTCCCCTGCCAAAAAGGGAGCTATATGGAACCAACTTAAAAGCCCGGACATGATCAATTGGCCAGATGCCATTTGTGTGCAGGGAACACATCTCCAGGATACGCCGTCCCATAATGCCAAGGCACGAGCAATCTGGCCGTACACATCTTTCGTTGCGCCGGCCAAAAAAAAGGGCGTCGGCAGGGGTGGCAATTTGGCTGCCACCCTCCTCGAGACTTACACCCATAAAGTACGACTATGGGTGTACCTTAAAGTGGCTCTCCAAGAGGACGTCTTTTACCTCGTATGTGTCTACGCGCCTAACGACCCGGTGGCCCGGCTGGACCTATGGCTCACGCTTCATCAACACCTACCGGATGATGCCCCGATGATAATGGCGAGCAACTTCAATACCACCTTGGATCCATATATGGATCGGCGGTCGACGTCGTAACAGACACGGACGGTTGGGGCCCCGCCGATCCAAACTGCACTAGATGTCATAGTGTTTAAACAATTCATGCTCGACAGACAACTGGAAGATGCTTACAGGGTGCTCCATCCAACTCAAAAGGCCTATACCTGTTTGTCTTCTAGAGGGCAGGCAGGACCGGCCAACTCTAGAATCGACCTTATACTAGTGTCTAAGGATCTTGCGGGACTTATTATTGCTACTGATATTGCATCCATCAGTCCATGCAACTCTTTTGACCATAGGATGGTCACCCTGGGATTGTCATTTCACAATCACATCCACAGGAGTCCGGGGTTTTATAAGTTTAACACCTCCCTTCTCCCCCTGTCCAAGTTCAAAGATATGATTGAATCTTTCTGGCGGTACTGGCAATCTAAGAAACCAGCCACAGGGGAGAGGGTGTCTTGGTTCAATGAAGGTATGACGCAACTCAGGGAACGAAGCAAGAAATTCTCTACCCAGTACGCCAGAGACCGTAAGGCAGTTCTAGATAGACTCATGCGAGAGCTGGAGGAATGGGACGACCAACTCATGGGAGATCCGATTCACCAGCCCACCTACGATGAACTGCAAAAGGCAAGGGACCACCTCCAAACTTACATCGACCAACAAACTCAAGCATGGAGGATTCAGGCGAAAATAAAGAAGGACCACACAGATGGAACAATGGCAAAAGCCTTCTTTAACAGAGCAAAAGCATGCTCGAGAGCCAACACAGTCCCGAGACTAAAGCACCCATTTGATGACAATGCCCCGACTGCAACTAATTCGTATGCGATTGTATACTACGCTTCAAAATACTACCAAAAGTTGTTCGCTTCGGAAACCCCCCTTAAACCCCCGGATGCAATCCTTCAGGCAAGAGAACAACTCCTACAAGCGCTCCAATCACGACTTACACTGCCCCAGAGAGCCGAACTGGACCGGCTAATTACGTTAGAGGACGCAAAGGAAGCCCTGCAAGATATGGAAGATGAGAAAACACCAGGGGTGGATTCCTTCCCCAAGGAATTATGGGTGCGGTTTTGGGAGCTGTTGAGTGAAGACCTTATGAAGTACATACGAGCGGTGCAGGAGGACGGATCCTTGGGGGCATGATGGGGCAAAGGAGTTACCACCCTCCTCTACAAAAAAGGGGATAAGGAGAACATACGAAACTATAGGCCTATCACACTCCTTCCGGTCCCCTACAAAATTATGGCTAAGACACTCACTAACAGATTGCTTCCACTAATGCACCTGCTCATTCACCCGGATCAGACAGGGTTCATGCCCAATCGCAACATTCAGGACAATGTCCTGTTAGTCAACGAGACCATCAAATACGCCAGGCAGCATAAACTCCAAGCAGCAGTACTCTTTATTGACTTTGAGAAGGCCTATGATCACGTTGACTGGGATTTTCTCGATCTGTGCCTCACAAGGATGAACTTCGGGCCTGTGTTCAGCAAGTGGATACAACTCTTTCATAGATCGGCCTCGACTAATATCATGTTGAATGGCCACCTTGCGGCCCAAATCCCCCTTCAATGATCGGTGCGCCAAGGGGATCCTATAACGCCACTCCTCTTTGTCATTGTTATGGAGACTCTCGCGTCTCTTATTAGAGGCTCACCCACACATACATTGAGTCCCCATCCCAGATCTGCCAAAACATTTGGTCCCGGTGACATCGCTCTTTGCAGATGATCTCACAGTGCTTATCAGGGCGGATGACCAGAGCCTTCAGGCCTTGACACAAGTCATCCACTTGTTTTCACTAGCGGCGGACATGAAGGTGAACTGGGGAGCAAAAACGGAAGGGTGGTGGATGCACCCGCTAGACATAGGGCCGCCGCCACAGCCACTGATTTCATGGGCACAACGGGACACAACAATTAGAATCTTGGGTGTTAAACTGACGGCACTTGGCCCCCCCCCAGACCATGGAGATGCCTTGGTGGATCTTGTTGTGGACGGATTAAGCAAGTGGGCTGGCATGCACACCTCACTTGTGGGGCGTGCACTAGCCATCAACAATGCTGTTCTCGCAGCAATCTGGTATAAACTTGCAGTATGGCCCCTCGACTGAAAACAATATGCAAGGCTTAGAAAAACCCTTACGACCTATCTGTGGAAAAACAGAGCAGAATCTCAAAGCTGCATGAATCGGGTTAAATGGGACGTGATGACACAACCAAGAGCAAAGGGAGGACTGGGAATATTGGATCCGGAACGGGAAAGCGAGGCCCTTATTTTCAAAGTGGTCATCAGACTCCTCACAGGCAATGACATACCCTGGGCGCCATTGGCCTGCATGCAGATCAAACACCTCGCGCCGGTGACAGTAACCCCGGACCAGATACACCCCTTCCAATGGTTGACAAATTCCCATTGGACTGTCCCGTCCGCCTCCCATCAATCACAAGCGGAGACACCGGAACAGGCCACCAAGCAAGACATTGCCAGGGACCCCATGTGGACGAATATGATCAAGCTTTGGAGACGGGTGGGACCAACACAAAAACGCCCCCCGAATAGGTGGCATGACATATGGAGGCAAACCGTATTTGGCAACCCCCATATTGTGGACAGTGCAGGCAATCCCTTCCCGCTCACAACGAACTCCCCCTGGCTTTCCTGGGTCAAAAAAGGCATATATACAATTGGAAGCCTCTGGGACGTTCGCACAGGGAACTGGATATCCGCAGCCCAACTTCAAAAACAAATAAAATATGTCAAAAACGTAGAGGATAAACTGTGCACTCCACGAGAAGCCTTGCCACTGGCCTGGCAACATACACTCAAGAATGGCTCGACCATTCAAAATGGAGACTGGGTGAGTAAATATTATGATTTGCCCTTACCACGTGCTAGCTATAGAGTACATAACTGTAACTCCTGGGCCTGCAACCTTGAAGCCCATGAACCCCTC